TGGCAGAGAAGCACTTAAAGAAATGCTCAACCTCATTAGCCATTAGGGAAATGCAAATCAAAACAACCCTGAGATTTCACCTTACACCCATCAGAATGGCCAAGATGAAAAACTCAAGGGACAACACATGCTGGAGAGGTTGTGGAGAAAGGGGAACCCTTCTCCACTGCTGGTGGGAATGTAAACTTGTACAACCACTCTGGAAATCAATCTGGCGCTTTCTCAGACAACTAGGAATAGTGCTTCCTCAAGATGCAGCCATACCACTCCTAGGTATATATCCAAAAGAGGCTCAAGTACACAAAAAGGACATTTGCTCAACCATGTTTGTAGCAGCTTTATTTGTAATAGCCAGAAGCTGGAAACAGCCCAGATGCCCCTCAACTGAAGAATGGATGCAGATATTGTGGTACATCTATACAATGGAGTATTATTCAGCAATGAAAAATAAGGAAATCATGAAATTTGCAGGTAAATGGTGGGACCTGGAAAGGATCATCCTGAGTGAGTTGTCCCAGAAGCAAAAAGATACACACCGTATATACTCACTCATATAAACATACAACATAGGATAAACCCACTAAAATCTGTATATCTAAACAAACTAAGCAAAAGAGAGGACCCTAACTAAAATGTTCAATCCCCATCCTGAAAGGCAAAGGGGATGGACATCAGAAGAAGAAGAAAACAGGAAACAACCTAGGAACCTGCCACAGAGGGCCCCTGAAAGCCTCTGCCGTGCAGACTATCAAAGCAGATGCTGAGCCTGATGGCCAACTGACGGGCAGAGTGAATGGAATTTTATGTAAGAAGTGGGAAATAGTAAGAGCCGGAGAGGACAGGAACTCCTCAAGGAGAGCAACAGAACAAGAAAATTTGAACACGGAACTTCCCAGAGACTCATACTAAGGACTATTCATGGAGATAACCTAGAACCATGACAATGCAGCCACTTCTGATGAGAACTGATAGACTAAGATCAGAAAGAAGGAGAGGAGGACCTCCCCTATCAGTGGGCTTGGGGAGGCGCATGCATACAGAAAGGGGGGGAGGGTGGGACCAGAAGGGGAGGAGGGAGGGGCTTATGAGGGGGATACAAAATGAATAAAGTGTAATTAATAAAAGTTAAATTAAAAAATTTAAAAAAGGGAAAAAAACAAGTATTTCATGCTTTTTCATGGAAAAGCACAGCTTTTACTTACTGACAGTATCTTTAATTAGGTCAAAGGAGCTTTCGTAGGCAAATGGCTAAGGGAATAGGATATTAATCAGAACATGTGTTGTCATGATGGCTTATCTTAATTGGGACACAAAGCACTCCAGATGTTTGTTCCCTCAGCCCACAATGATGCTGGCTTCTCATGCTGAGGGAAACTCATTTATTAAAGAAATAAGTCTACTTTTTCTTTCAATATATAGAAAGCTACAGCAAGACACTTCCTTAAAGTAAGAGATAGTTTTACCATCTGAGGAAGGTGCATGCTTCCTATTTAAAAAAAAAATTAAAAGATTGGCATAGCTGTTTGTGGAAAATAACCTCAGAATATGTTTATCTTTATGGAATGTGCAATAGTGCAGAGTACTGAAAATAAGCTGAGTGCTCAAGTTAGTAATGGCTAATTTGCTAATTTTAAAGTAATTAGAAAGGATTCCAGGTCCCTGCTGCAGCAGCACCACCTTGAATGTGGGAGAAAAGGTCAGGGAACAGCAAGAGTTCCCAAACTTCTGTCATATTGGCCTATTTTACACATCATATGATCTGAAGACACATTTATGGGGTACAAAGTTTGTGACAATATGGTCAGGAAAATCTCGTGGGAATCAAAACAGTTGAGAACATCTGCCTTAAAGATAGCGAATTTTCATCAAGATTAAAAACAAGGAAATAAATCAAGAATGACTAAAAGAAGAAATAAGCAACACATTTGTATGAAAAGGATATCAGAAGGAGGTACAGAGGAGGCTCATATTCAGGACACTAGCACACAAGATGGCACAACCTCACTTTTCCTAGCAGGTGCATCTCAAAGGTAGAGACAGATACTGGGATATTCATCTTAAGGCCACCAGCAGTTCTCAGGAGTGAGGATGGAAGGAAGGTCCCCGAGAAGTTCAGTCAACTCCCTTTGGTTATCAAATATAGTAAGATCCACTAAAAAGAAATATTTCTAATTTGATTTTCATATTTTAGGTCAAACTAAGTACTGATCTACATATTTCCTTGCAATTGATTCTCTAAATGCAGGGCTTTCATGGCCAAAATGAAAATGCTAAGTGAAAACTTCAAATTATTTTCCATTTCATCCTACCAAGAAGTGGCTTTAGTCCTGGTAAGAATTTTGAACCAAAATAGCATCAAATCTCTGAAACTTAATCCTCTCAGTCTTGCTAATTCCAAAGCAGGGATGAAGAACATGAAACACAGCTACTCAGCCTGTTTTTCTACAAGCTTACAAGCTCATGAGCATACTGAGTCCCTCTTGAGGCTCTTGCTGCTTGGTGTTAAGTTGGATGTCAGGGACAGATGGCAAGCTTGTCATTATTTACTGCAGGCAATGCTGTGTGACATCAGATCAAATTAATCACTGTGCCAACCAATTTAATTATTTTAAATACTTAGGAATAATTCAGTTTAGGAGCACAGATAAAATAAGAAGGCTTTATAAAGATGATGAAATTTAACCCACAATATACTTGTAATGGCACCCTGCCAGTTATTTAAACACAAGTAAATGGAGATTGGAAAGCAGCTCACTGCTAGAACTCTTCGCTAGAATGTACAGGCCCTGGGTTTGATCCTCAGCAATGATACTGATGATAATTATGATGATGATGATGATGATGATGATGATGATGATGATGATGATGATACCTATGCAGTTCAAATTCCCATATTAAAAATTAGAGGCTTGATTTGATTCTAGAAACTTGCTGTAGAAACTCAGATGGGAAACATGGTCAGCTGTTAATTGCAGGGCTGGGCATGTGTCTGAGTGTTGTGTTTACAGGAGACACTATTCCTCCACAGGAAAAAAAGGCCTCTGGTATTCGAGCAATCTTTCTTATAGAGAGTTTAGCTGCGAAGTCACCATTTTGAATTGCACTTTATTTCTGCATAATTCACTTCTTAGGCACAATTATTCAAAGAAGGCTCACTCATTAAGCAAGCGCTTTTCTGGTTGCATGAGAAAGTTGGTGAGAAGTTAGAGGTATGAGTTCCCTAGATATTATATAATAAGACAGCTGGAATGAATTTTCTGATTGCTTTAAAAAAGGAGCAGTTTAAAAACTCATTTCACATATAAAAGTAACGACAGTTGTCATTGTGGTTATAGCAAAAGGAGTTGACTCCATCCCCAACCTTTATATTTATTTTTATTATTTTATATGTATATATGTATGCCTACATATATGTGTACTCCACATGCATGCAGGACTTGGAAATGCCAGAAGAAGGTGTCTTATCCCTAGGACCTAAATGGTGAGCCAACATATGTATGCTGGAAATCAAATCCTGGTCCTCTGCAAGACCAAAGTGGTCTTAATTGCTTAACCATTCCACCAGCCTCCATTTATTTTTTGAGACTGTGTCTTATATAGCTCAGGTTAGTCCTAAACCCAAGGATGACCTTGAACTTCTTTTTATCTCTTTTTCAAAATATATTTTTGTTTATTGTTTGAGTTTTTTTTAACTTTATTTCATGTGCATTGGTTTGAGGAACTGGAGTTACAGACAGTTGTGAGCTGCCATGTGGATGCTGGGAGTTGAACCAGGGTCCTTTGGAAGAGCAGACAGTGCTTTTAACCACTGAGCCATCTCTCCAGCCCAATTGTTTGAGATTTTATGTAAGTATACAAAGTACAAAGTCAAATCCATTCCTAACTCTTTTTAATAGGTATTTAAATTATTGTGCTCAAATTTCTTCCTATTCCTCAATTTGATTACTCAGCATTTGTTCTTCAAAGACATTCTTTCAAACTATTCAGGAAAGAGCTTATCATCAAATATGATGTCATTAGGGAGATAAATGCAAAGAAAATATGGCACCCTTCACAAAAAACACTTCCTTTATCTGAATATCTTGTCTATATATGAAAGGATGATCAGAACAGATACTATGTTACAAGCAAAACAATAAAGTTTGTATAACAGGTGAAGGTAAATGTGTCCATCTAGTAGATCCAAGTGGGAAAGGTAATGTAATTACAATCCCCAGCTTTCAGATGAGTGGAAAGCGGTTTCTGAAAGTTAAAGCTGTACCCATGAAATGCCTCACATAAAAGGCCCATACATGACATTGCAGGCCCATTGATGAAATGCCTTGTATTGTAGGTTTATTCCTAACACTGAAGCCCCATACATGACATTGCAGGCCCATTCATTTGTGAAGCCGCTCTACACTACAAGCTCATTCATGGTGTACATTGTGCTGCAGACCTATTCATGACCCTGCAGGCTCATTCTATTCTATCCTGCGTTGTCACTGTCTTTGGCACTTGTTCTTGAGAGTGAAAACTGGAGTCTAAGAAAAGTGCATTGTGATTCCCAACCCAACGCTGTACAGATTTTTCTGTTTATTTTTACCAAAAGTAATAAACTTATTCAAGCTTTAAAAATTTGAAAACTGAAACAAACACATCCTACTTATGCAGCACGATCAATGGTTCCAAGCTCGTATATTAGCAGTGTTACTCCACTGAATGACAATCATCAGGTCTAGGGCCAAGTTTTTATGAAGTTTGCAATAAAGAGTGTTAGGCAGGAAAAGGAGGCATACAGAAAATGTGTGTGATGAGAAAGTATGCTAGAGAGCAAAAGACCCAGTGGGGATTTGAAACTTACTACAGAGAGATGATAGGGCTCTCTAACCGCAATGAGGTCGCATTCAGGGTAGAATGTGAGCAGAAATTAACAGAACTGCTTCCCTCCTGGCACAATGCTAACAAGTTTGCAGTAGTTGCACACTCTATGGAAATCGTGATGCGAATGACACTCTTACCATCTGTTTTCTTTGACTCATTTCCGGTGTTGGAGTGATCCTTCTTGTCTGCCTTATTTTTACCATCTTTCAAGTCACCTGAAAGCAATAAGCATGACAAACTGAATGTGTGCAGCTGGGGAGGCAGAAACACTTAAAATCTGCCAGGATGAGACACAGTGCAGCAGAGAGGTGTGAGGGACCGTGCACCCTGGTTTCAGTATCTTTTGTAGCCAGGTGATAAGTTCTGAAAATTGGATTACAGTCAGAAATTAAAATTAAAATACTCAGTTTAGCTGTTAAGCTGTGAAGTGAGGGAAAACCTGGAACAGAGGTAAGTTCTACTAATTAACAGCTAGCTAACTATGTTAGCTAACAGCTATGTTTTAGTTTCTTATCTGCAGAATGGGGATAAGAATGCACCTGCACCTGAGCCATCTAAGTGCTAAATGGGACACGTGGTATATTGCTGGAAGGCCGTGCTCACGATCCTACCGCAGAGCTATTCTATTAATGAGGTTGTCAAAATACCATTTCCAAAGTTAAAAATACTACTCTCACAAATGTGAGCAAACATACGTAAAGAACATATATAACTCACTGATGAGGGAATGAGAGAAACAAGATAATTTTAAGAACATCCAAGGAAGAGGGTATTTATGAGTATTTTAGAAATGTGTTAAAACATGTTTGCTCATAACCAAAGAATAAGGCACAGGCTCTTCAGGCAATCTATATAAGCCAAAATCTCTTACTTAGAAAATAGATTTACGAATCAAGTATCAAATAGAAAATTTAAACACAATTGCTTTCTCCAAAACCACGAGTCAGGAATGTTTGGGCCAATGTGGTCAGCCACTGTAGAGCCAGTGACATTTTACTGGCACCTCGCACATGACATACCCATATCTACATATTGTCTGTGGCAATTTTATTTTGTAACAACATTGTTGAATGGGTATGACAGAGAAAAGTTTCTTAGAAATATTGCCTTTGTGGTCATAGGCAATACTACTAACAGAACAAGGAGATTTCCCTCATTGGGGATAGTCACCTTTGAGGATCTGTTTGGTAACAGGAGCAACACTGATCAGGAGGGATGCTTTGTACCACCCTTATTTCCAGGTCTCTGATATTTTTCTTACTAGTTTTACTAATGGCACCTTTCTTTTTTGCCTGCATTCAGCCAAGAATACTTTATGACTCAAATACTGTGAAGTCACAGAAGCAAGAAGATCATAGCAATAAGTGCAGTGAGGAGAGGTGGCAAAGTACTTGGTACATATGCATTGAAATCTTATAACAACCCCCATGTGAAGGAGCCACAGTGGAGAGTGGAGGAAAGCACCACGGATGCCTTCTTCAAGTCAGAGACTTACCAACCTCACATTAAGGCATTCCTTGGCAGCAATGTAGCCATAAGTATAAATGCTGGCCAGTCCATCTGTGTCACACAGAGTGAACTGCCACCAGCACACATTCCAGACATGCTTCTGGCCTGACCCCAGATGCGTATTATCATTCCCAGTGAAGCAATAACAGGCCATGTATATGGTCCTGATTTCAGAGGCCCAGGTCTAGAATATGGTATCTGAAGGCTTCCTGAAACACTCACACTGTTGGCTCTCTATTGGCTCACACTGATGGCTCTCTATTCCCATTTTTACTTTAAAGGCCTTTTGTTTATAGATCTAGGAAGAAATACTAGGATAATTTGAGGGTATTTTTGGTTATGATATATTCTATAGAGTATATACATTTAATTTGACTAAACTAATTAAACGAATTAAGCTAAACTAATTAAGTAAATTAGGAATCAACTAACTTGTAAGATTTGCCTTTACTCTTAATTCTGAAATGAGAGAGACAGAATGGCTGGAAGCACTAAGAAGGGATGTTTGGGTATGTTTAGGACTGGCTTAAGTGGAAGACATGATTATTATCCTCTGAATCACCAGTGAACCAAAAAGAGTTCCTCGGAATCCTGTGAAAGAGCTCAACTTTTAAGAATGTTAGAGATGGACTGAGCATCTCAAGTCCTAGGGTTAAATTAGTCCTTGGCAGTTTTCCACAATCTATCTTCCTCACATGAACTTTGAATTTTCACATTCCTCATGGGCTGTGAGGTCTAAAGATTTACCATCTGACCCATTACAGAAAGTATGTACCTTCCCTGTCTTCTGGACAGCAGACAGGCCTCTCCATTCCCCTCATGTCCACCTCTTCCTAGTAGCACTGGGAGTGACTGGGAGTAAGCAAGAGCTGGCTATGGAACAGAGAATGTGGATTCCCAAAGCCAAGGATCTCTATTTGGTGATTTCTTAAGTCTTTTAATTTTTGAGTTTCAATTTTTTCTTCTGTAACATGGAACTATGTTTATGTTAGAATCTGTATGTGTACCTGTGTATACATGTATATGCAGGTAGGTACACGGAAGCACATGTATGTACATTCCTATGGAGGCCAGAGCTCAACTTTGGGTGTTCCTCAGGCACCCTCAACCTTCTGTTTTGATGCAGAGCCTCTTACTATCTTGGCAACCATAATTATTACTGAAATCTCACAGGAGGCTGAGACTCTGAACAGGCTTGAATGTAGTTTACACAGAGATGGGAAAGTTATACAGTTTAAAGTCTCCAAGAAGGGAGAAGAACAGAGTTGTGACTTGAATCTAGATCTGTTTGCAAAGGTGTCTTCTTCTCCAGTCATAGCTTAGCATTTGTAAACTCTACTTTCTGCCTATCTGTAAACAAAGGAACTGATTCCATGCCTTGACACTATCTTAGCCTCCTTGGCTGAGAAGCTTCTCTCCCACCGGACCCACAAACTAAAACTTTGAGAAACCAGAAACCACCTTATTCTGAAGGCATCTTAGCTACTTTCCTCATTTCACTACCTCAATGGCCAACAACCATCTCTTCCTTCATGTAAGACTCTTGGGCATTTCGTCTGCTGCTTTCCCTTCCCTCATCTCTGCATCATGTGCACATTCCTTTAGAATTACATTTGAGCATGTCTATATCGCCATAACATGAAAGATGTCCCATAGCCTTCCCACTCCTAATACAGAGCCTCTGGATCTAATACAGAGTTGACATAAAGTTGTTAATAAATGTTCATTCATTGAATATAAGAACTCACCAGTTGCTTGAAAATGATGGTGGCTTATTGCCCTCAGTTCACTTGGACTATTTTGATTTTAGAACTGGAAATCTGTATCCCAGGAACCCTTCATCTACAGCCAACCCAGGTTGACTTGGTCACTTAATATCTGTGGTTAGGCCCATGTCAATATATAGATAAACACTTTGGGAACAGGCCTCCTGCTGCCTGGAGCCTGGCCTGGTTAAAAATGGTGGAATATGTATTTGGGAAGGTTGACTTTTCAATACTCATTTTAGCATTTAGCAACCCAGGCTGTGCTAAACCTGTTAATAGAAATTTATATCGCTTGTGAGAATCTCCAGGACATCAGGGAAAGATCAGAAAAGTGTGTGCTATTTCAGAAAGAAAGGTAAGCTAAGCTGGTGGCCATAGGACAGGATCCTGATTCTATCTCTAGAGCAAGGGGAACTATGTTAGCTGCCAGCAAAGGGAACATAACACCAGTTTCAATTTGCCACATCATTATCACCCCAAAGAGAGCCTTTGCCAGGCAGCCCTTCTCACCATTCTGCTGCTTTTCTCCTGCCTTGTCACCTTTGGGGTTCTTTCCACGAAGGTTGTCACCCTTGTTTGTACGTGTTCCATTAACTTGACTCTTTGCTTCTCCTGATGTCTTTTTCTCAGCTTTGCTGGCTGTGCCTTGTTCAGCTTGGCCTTTGGCCTCCAATTCCTTCTGCTTTTCCTCAGCAGCCAGGCGAGCCTTCTCTTCAGCTTCCTTCTTGGCTTTCTCCTCTGCATCCACAGCATTGAGAGAAGACAGAGAAAGAGAAAGAGAGGTCCACTGTTAGTAAAACTGCCTGTTTGGAAAAAGAACCAACAACCCAACAACGATGATGTTCATGGGAACCAGTGCACTGAAACAGTGTAGGGGGTTTATTGAGCATGTTATTTTCTTGGTTAATTCAAGTCAGATTTACATGTGTGTTTAGAATATCAATAAGATAGGCCACTTGTAAAAGTACTGAGTTGGAGGAGGGTACCAGAAAACACAATCATGGCAACGTAATAGGGATGACATGCACACTGCTCTTCTCACTGCTGATAACCTTTGGCGAGTATGTCCTGATGCCAGTTACTATGTTCAGAAGTCTTCAAAGTTTGTTTCCATTCACCTTAAGATTTCCTTGTCACCACATGTTATAGTCACATTGTAATCAAGGCAAAGAGACAAATAACGTCATTTTATGAAGTTTGCTTGGAACCCAGAACATTTACATTGACAAGTAAATATGGACAAAAAGTCAGGGCAAATAACCATCACTAGAAGAATACAAACTCAAGGCAGAGTTTATGAAGTTAAAACTAGAAAGGGGTAGGTTATACCTTCCCAAACTAAGAGAAAACTCCAAACTTGATGCCGAGGATCTGACAACGAGCATGACAGAAGCATGCAAATGGTTATAATGAAGTAAGCAAATGGCTGAGATGATGTTGAGCATTGAAAGTATACTGCAGTAATTGAATTCAAAGAGACAGGAAAAGATGGAACGTAGTCGGCACAAGGCAGAAAGTGGCTTTAGACAGAGGAGTGGAGAAGGCTTTCTTGAGAAGACAGCATTTGACCAAATCCTGAATGATGGGAAGCAGACCAGGAAATGAAATCCTGTAGAAACTTTAGTATTTATGGAAGAAACTAAACATATGAATGCCACAAGAGGAACATGTTTGTTGTGTTCATGGATGTCGAACTGGCCCCCAAAAGGAAATTTGTCATAGTAAAAATGATCAAATAACCAAGGACAAGTACAGATCACATAAGAGAGGATGGAGGGCAAATAGTAGGTCTGGAGTGAAGAGAAAAAACTACATATATTAACTACATATATTATATTATATATATTAAAGCCCCCTAACATAGCCAAATCCCCTGGAAGGGACTCTCCATATGGAGCTCATTCTAAAGATATATCTTTAGCTTCCTCTGTGAAAAGCACGATTGTATTTTTCTCTAGATAAATGATAAACATCTTACCTCTCATTACCAGAGGCTCTCTGTCTTCCCCTTTGGGTTAGTCTGGTTCTTTGAACTGTTTTCATGTAGTATGATTGCTTTAACCTAATAAACACCAGACAGCCTGTGTCTATTATATGATATTTTCTTTTGTGTTAGCTGTTAAAGAATTTGAGGTCCTGGACAGGCCTAGTTGTTAGGTTCACATAACTCTATGATTTATATTTTATGGATGTTCGTGGTGCCTGGCTTTATTTTTACTTTCCAGGCCCTTGCACTCATTTATGCCACGTGTCTTTTTTAATATAGCATGACATTTTTATCTATCATTTCATTGATCCAGCATCCATCCATCTCTAACCCATTCATTCTTTCATCCAAATCAATGACCTGGACTCATCTCAAATAAATTAAATCAGATTCTAAATGGAGAGAGATAAGGATAGGCTCTCTCACATCTTTCCTCACTGCCTTTGACACACAGCAAGTAGTAGGATGTTCTGATGTGAAGTCTAAGTATTTGCCATTTAGTGTGTTAGTCTGTCTCTTCAACAAGCTGTTTTTACAATTTACAATGAAAAGGTATAGAAGTATTTCTTTATATAGAAAAATCATAACCACATGTAGTGTAATGTGTGTTCTGACTTCCACAGAAATGTACACTAAAAAGTGAAAGAATACCCTTTAAACAATGGTTGCCAAGCATAGGGCAGTCCTGGAACATTCTTTCCTGTTTCCTTATACCTTTAGGTGCTTTGAGGTTAGGGCCAAATGTCATGTTCACCACTGCTTGGCATAGTATATAGAACACATGTGCTCCTGAGGTTTTGATGAAGCCCTGAGATGTTGCTCATGCATACAATTTACATAAACTACCAATATAACCCAACACCTTAGCCTGATAGAACACCAACGTATGCAGAGCCTCTGGTCCAATTCCAAAAGGAATATTTGGCAAACATTAGTTTCCTTGACTTATAGTATAGATAAATAAAAAGTGACTGTTTTTTTCCTCCTGCTATCAGTGCCTTTCTCAGCCATCATTAGAGATGCTTCCTACTGTGGTGGGAACCACAGCCAGGTATCACATAGAGTGAGAGACCTTGGAACATGAAGCCCTAAATGGGATGGCTCTATCAAATCCCTTCCCTCAAGGCTCAGGAGGAGGTAGAAAAAGTGTAAGAGCCAGAGGGCATAGAGGACGCGAAGAAAACAATTCTCTCCAGCTCAACATGAACAAAGTTCATACACACTCACAGACACTGTAGGCAAATACTTTGCCTACACCAGTCTGCTCCAGATCTTTTTGTCTATATTATGGCTCCTACTTTATTAATTTTATGGGGTTCCTGAATGTAAGAATGGGTAGGTCTCTGATGCTTTTACCTTCACTCAGGCTCCTGTCCTTCTTTTTTGTTTGTCTTGTCCAACCCCGATGTGATAGCTTTTATTTTATCTTACTAGATTTTATTTTGTTATGTTAAAAAAGATGACTGTTTTTATTGTACAGAGGGAAATAGAAGCAAGAAGAGGCAGAGTCATTCATATTTAGAATGCGCTATCAGGGAAGATTAGCTATGGCTACCTTCACAGAATCATTACTGAATACATGGCAAACTTCCAACACTCAAAATATCTCCAAGCTGAAAATAATTTAAATAAAATCTGAAGCTGTTAAACTGTAGTTTACTATGAAAGACCATAAAATATTATCTTAGAAAGAAAAACTCATTTGACAACTGAGTCAGACCAATTTTCTATGGGAGATGTAGAAAAACAACTGAGAAGAAGGGAAGGAAACATTTGGAAGGCAAATCTGTTTTTGCTCAAGTGCAGCTGACATGAAAAAGTTATTTTAAATTAACAAACAGCAGCTCTTATTACATTATGATCAAATCAGATATGATCCTAGCTCACAGTGTGAGTCCCTTCTTTGCAACAACCTTCTAGTAAACTCTAGCCATGATCCCACAATTCTCTTTGGCCTGTCCAATCACCTTCTGCCTCTTGCTTGTGCAAGTGTCATCAACCAGACTACACAAAGAGATAATACTAAAGCTAGACAATAGCAAACATACATAAGACTAAATTACATCTACAAGAGGTTGGTTTCTTTCCCTCTCCAAGAAGCCTCCTCTGTATGCTTAGGGTGAATGTTAGGGTGAATGTATTAGTGTGAATACTATCATTCTACAGTGAGAAGAAGTCAGTGAGACACTGATAATCTGCACAGACCCACATGTTCTATTAATGGCATGGATATGAAGAAGTCACTTATCAGGTCTTAGATCTAGACTCCCTGGCATCATCCCAAGGCTTTCTGACTAGTAAACCTTTATGGTCCATTTTCTTTTGCTCCTCTTTCAACCTCTTTGTGTTGATATGAATCATTAAGAAAATAACCAACAGAAATCAGCTGAAGAGTTAAGGTGTGGCAGAACCCCTGGGACCTGTAAAACACACTGCTCACATTAGATCTGTGGATGTCTGTACAGTCTTAAGAATGAATTTGAGTCTTTATTCCATTTGCCTCGATAAGTAACTATCCCATAGATTCCTTAGTGGAAATTCCATGGAGCTACTTATCCATTAATCTACTCTGAACTACTGATTTAACAGGAGAGGGAGAATAAGAATGTGAACACGAGACAAGAGATAGGAATCTAACTAGTCAACATAAGCATATATATATGTGTGTATATATATATATGTCAATTCCACTCCATACAGAAACAAGGAGGTCACTGAGAGCATGCCTAAGAGCTCAGAAGGTGTTCTTCTAGCAGCTGATAGAAAATTTCAATCAATATTAAAAATCCAAAACCAAGAAAATATGTCAGTAATACATAGTGAAAGTATAATTGTTCAAATTGAAATGGATGTTGAAGATAAAAAAACTTAGGTAATTATTTTAAAATAATGTTCTGGCCTGGAGAGTTGATTCGGCGGTTAAAAGCACTTGCTGCTCTCACAGAAGAACATGTGTTGGCCTACCCTCACCCCTAACTCCATTCAGGAATCAGTTCGAGGGTACCAGGCTCTCTCTTTAGATCCTTGAGAGAACCAGGCATGCACACGGTGCAAGACATATACACAGTCAGAACACTCAAGTGCAAAAATAAATCCAGTAGTTAAAGAAAAATGCACAAAGTTAAACTGAAAGGGAAACAACACAGCTTTTCTAATCACTAGGCTGGAAACTTCATAGTATTCAACAAAAGCCAAGTGATAATAAGCAAACAAAAATGAATTCCCCAACAAGTGCAGAGGTTCTTCACTATGTATTGTGTATGATATATTATCGTGTTTATTGGGACTCACTGTCCAATAAAGAAACTTAAAGCAAGCTTGCGGGAGAGTAGACATAGGTGGTATAACCAGAGACTCACTAAAGTCAATGACACATGACAAACAGGAACTGGGTAGAAAATACAGGATACTTTGACAACTAAAGTACTATCTATATGTAAAAATCATTAGCTCAACCATGTTCGTAGCTGCTTTATTTGTAATTGCCAGAATCTGGAAACAACCCAGATGTCTCTCAACTGAGGAATGGATTCAATAGTTGTACATTTACAAAATGGAAAAACAAGGAAATCATGAAATTTCCAGGCAAATGGTAGGAACTAGAAAAGGTCATCCTGAGTGAGGTATCCCAGAAGCAGAAACACACACACGGTATATACTCACTTATAAGTGAATATTAGACATATAGCATATTAAAATCTATACACCTAAAGAAGCTAAGCAAGAAGGAGGTCCTTGGTATAGACATCAGAAGGTGCAAACAAAGAACAAGACAGGAGGTCTCTGAAAGACTCTATCCAGCAGGGTATTAAAGCAGATGCTGAGACTCATAGCCAAAATTTGGGCAGAGTGCAGGGAATCTTATGAAAGAAGGGGGAGATAGAAAGATCTGGAAGAGTCTAGAGCTTCACAAGAAGAACAACAGAGCCAAAAAATCTGGGCTCAGGGGTCTTTTTCTGAGACTGATACTCCACTCCAAACAAGGACCATTCATGGAGAAAACCTAGAACCCCGGCACAGATGTAGCCCGTGGCAACTCAGTCTCCAAGTGGGCTCCCTAGTAAAAGGAACAGGAACTGTTTCTGACATGAACTCAGTAACTGGCTCTTTGATAACCTCACCCTGAGTGGGGGGACAGCCTTACCAGGCCACAGAGGAAGACAATGAAAGACAGTCATGATGAGACCTGATAGGCTAGGTTCAGAGGGAAGGGGAGGAGGACTTCCCCTATCAGTGGACTGGGGAAGGGGCATGGGAGGAGATGAGGGAGGAAGGGAGGGTAGGATTGGGAAGGGACAAGGGTGGGGCCTACAGCTGAGATACAAAGTGAATAAACTGTAATAAATAAAAAATTATATTTAAGAAATTTTTATGTAAAAATATCATTTGTAATTACATATAAAATCATTATGAATCATCAATGATAGTAGAGAGAAATAGACAGTTTTATTGTTCTTGTATCTGAGAAAAAAACAACAACAAACAAACATGGTTTTTAAAAAGGGCCAGAGGGGAATTTGGTGTGAAAATATTTTAAAGTTCTTATCCTGTTGACAGAAGAATGCTATGCAGTCTTCTAAACTTTCACATTTATAAAAATATGAAATACAGCAATGGCCTGGTACCCTAACACTCAATAGCACAATCATTGTATGAGATACAATGTCTGGGGACAACATTACATTAGAATATTCAGCAACAGGACAAGAAGTACACAGCAGGAAAAAGCAGCAGACTGTCGCTGGCACTGCTTCATAAACCTGACTTGTGGAGCAAAGTTCACTGCATCTTTATGCAGCTGAGCAAAACTAGGTTGGTTCAGAGCATCGGCAAGTGTTACTGACATTTGGATAGGGTGAAATGATTTTGTTTCCTTCTGCACATATATTTTAAAAAGTTCTGCATTTGCTGTCTAAACATATTATTCCATTAGCAGGCAATCAATGTGTAAAAAGTACTAAATACAGCATATAAATTAATAAATATAAATACAGACTAAAATTATCAAATTTTGTACCATAAATTTTAGGGTGAAAATGATGCTTGACCTAGAAGAAAACTATTCAAAATACGAATTAACTCTTTCCTAATAATTTGTTGGTTCTGGTCCACATAACTTTGTAAGGTTGGATAACGTAACCTAAACTTTATCCCATTCCCTAACAATATGTGTACAAATGTCCCTGGAAGGGAGCTTGTCTCAAAATTCGAGTCCTTTTGGGGAGGAAAAAGTCAGTAATAAGAACATGTTAAGATTATTTATTCAAATTGACCGTTACCAATGTAACTGAAAACTAGATTTCTCCTTCATATCAGTTGGTCCATGAACAGCACCATTTTGAGACTGAAAGTGTGAGCTCAGTTGAATGGACACTATCACAACCAGTGTTTTAACCCTATTACATGCAGGGTAATTCCTCTCTAGTGTATTTAAATAGCAGCTACCTCTTACCAAGCACAAACTGGGCCAGCTTTGCTCCGAGTACTTTTCCGTGTGTTCTTCAGTTCTTGGTACTAACCCTGAAATGTACATGACTGAGTCCAGAACAGAGTCTCAAAGAACCTCCCAGAATGAAACCAAGCAAGTTGAGATTCAGTTCTCCATTTCTCTGCTAACTAAATGTGGTCTCCATAGCTAAGCTACATGCCCCTAAGTATCTATAACGTAGGGGCTGGAGCTTGTTTGTTGTAGGATATTTAATCCTATTGCGAACCCGTAAACTGTGAACTGAAAAATCCTGTTTTTTGTTTTGTGTGGTTGAGCCCTCTCACACGCTTTTAATCTAAGAACTTTTTATTGTAAGCAGGTGATTATAGTGTGGTTCACCCAGCCGTAGCACAGAACTTTAATCCAAGAGCTTCTGTACACAGGATTTAAAAAAGTTAACCCTTGGTCAAGATGTGGAGCAAGAAACCAGCTGACAGGGATTAAAGAGTAGAGGGGGACTTTGAGTTCAGGGGAATTTAATACAGTGTGGAAAAGAAGAAAGAGCTTTTAGCTTAAGCTCTAGCATTAGCTTAATCTCTTTGGACTTGGAGCTAGCAAGCCTTTGGTCTTGGGATTTTTTGGCCTTTTCTTCGTGGGCTGTTAGTTGAGCTAGTGAGGTGTTTGGGTTTTTTGTTGTTGTTGTTGTTTTGATTTGTTTTGTTTTGTTTTGTTTTTTGTTTTTTTGTTTGTTTTTTTTTCCATCCGGACCTGAGCTGAGAAGGAAGGTCAGCTAGGTGATTTCTCTGCCTCTCTGAACTAGCAGGTTTTCACCCCAGCATCTGACTCCTGCATCTTTATTGGTAAAATAGAATGGTTAGGATTTTCATTTTTGTTTATAACAATACTTGTTCCTTTTGCTTTAGTGTGTACATTATCTTTTTTCTTTTATATGTGTGTATGCATGTGTGTTTGTATATATGTGTAATTTCCTTAAGTACTATCCACCCCTACCCCAAGACAGGGTATCTCACTGATGTTCATGTGGGCTAGGCTGGCTGGCAGTGAGCCCAAGTAAACAGTCTCTGCCCTCCCACCACTGGGATTACAAATACTACCAGGAAAGTGTCTTACCATGTGGGCTATCTTCTCTGCCCCTCCTGTTCCTATTTTTAACATCCTCCAGCAAATCCCAGTGTCCTTCAAATACTACCCACTGGAAGTCTTCCCAAAGGCCCCAAGCAGGGTTAGGGACAAGTCCCTTCATGCTGCTTAAAATAGTTTCCGTATCTCTACCCGCAAAGGTAGTGAAGTTTAAAATGATGAGGTGTTTATCTGTCCTTTTGAAAGGAACAGTTATTCTTTGGAAAAGAAGCCATCTAATATTTCCCCAGGTGATTAGTTCAGAAGGTAATTTCAGTAACGAAGATAATTGCAAACAAATGATTTTGAATGACCTCTTTAAATTGTGTGTTGTCACAAACTGGATGTTCAAGTGTAATGGTCATGGTATAGTGTTCTTCCAATGGTGTAGTAACCTGCCAACACGGAGGATTTAAATGCTTGAAGTATTTGAATAGACCCTGAATGCTTACAATTAAAATATAGAACAGGTGTTGGCTCCTTCCATAGCTCAGGGTACAACATCTGTCCCCAAATGATAATGCTTTCATTATGCCCCAAGAGCCCATAAATCTAACCCCCTTGCCTTACCTGCAATGTTTTGTTTTTGCAAGATTTTTATGGCAAGTGTCTGGTCTTCGAAATAATCCAGCTACGGGGGTGGGGGGCACAGAACCTGCAGCTCTAACACGAGGACTTAGAGCTGTCCCCTAGCTTTCATACACTGAAACCTCAATCCCAAATTTAAATGCTGATTGGAAGTGGGAACTTTGGGGCATAATGAGGACTAGGCCAGATCCTGAGGGTGGGGCCTCCATAGAGATTCAAGTTTGTACACTGTCTCTGTCTCTTCACGGGTTTGCCTTCTGCCAGGAAGCAAGCAGACTAGGTATCAACATCAGTCTCTTGATTCTTTGTAAACTAGTGAGCATTGAATATTTTGTTATAGCAACAGAAAATACACCCAAATATTGACCCTCGTACCCTCTTTCCACATGTGCTGACACAGACAGTAAAACAGTGCAAGTGCTGTTTGAGGATAAAGTCTCAAGAACCTTGGCTGCTCTGAGGGTTTGGGGCTCAGGGATGTTGATAATAAGTACAAGGTCTTGATTGAGTTCTTTCTTACCCATTGTATCATCAAGCTCTAACATAAGAGCCCCTTGCTATGAACCCAGCGGATGGGGATATCCATGACATCCTTTGGCACTGGGCATGGCATCTAGAAAATGGACAGCACACAACAGGTACCAACAGACACTGACTGCTATTGAAGGCTCACCTCTGCAAAGCCCGCTGTCACCAAGCCCCATCCCTGAACGCCAAGAGCCACATCACATCTTTGAAACCCTAAGATCTGGCATCACAGATTCACATTATTCATAGCAGCCTCAGGCTCCCTGTGTGCATGTGCCTCTCCACCTAAATAGTTTGATCATGTCATGTGTGCCAATCATGCTCAGTAATGAAAGCAAACACGGATATATGAACTAAGCCCCCCCCCCCCAAAGCATGGATTTTTATATTTTCTGTACATAATAGCTGGAGTCACAACTTTTCTGGTCTAACTTTGATGAGATTTGCTTTTCAGGAAATTTCAGTTTACTTATAAGTTATTATCACCTCTCAAAAAACAAACCACCACCAACACAACAACAACAACAATCAGTTCCATGGTTGGAGCAATGAGTGGAGGGAAACCATGAATATGGCAGGAAGCTCCTCGAAAGAGACTAAAGCTCCTTTTATTTTAACAGAACAGGCAGTAGTGGTTGACAGAGCTTTACCAAGGTGAATAAGGGCAGAAAGGTTTTATGTTGTGTCAGCTGGCATGAAGGGTAAAACAAGGTAGTCTAGCAGAGACCAGGTAGTAGTAACCCCAGCCCCTGTAGAAGTCCACACTGGGCAAAGAGGTTTAGTTGTGTTGCATAAAGGCACAGGAAGGATTGGCTTGGAGGTCAGCCAGATTCTGCCATACAGCCAGTGTTTGAGAGAATGAGAACTGTCACATAGGAGTACCAGTACCCAGCATCCAGCGCCCCAGTCCCTGGAGCAATGTGCTATACCTAAAAGGCCCATAAATCACAGCAGGTAACCACTTGCCTTCAAGTGAATACTGGATTTGCCTGGATAATATTAGCAGATTCTTCCTGAAGAGCACATTACCTTTGGGGACCTTGGCCCGCCACCGCTCCCGATTGATGTGCACCACTTCAGTCCAAGTGGCTTTAAAACTCTTATAGTCGACAGGGATGACGGAGTTGTTGATGGGAGCACTTCCTTCTGAGCCAGAGCTCTTGACACCTGATCGCTTTGCATCTGATGAGTTGATGCTGTTTAAACTGGAAAACAGAAGAAATCACACCAAAGATGAGAGTTAGTGTCATGTCTGCAGCATGCAAACAGTGAGAAAGGCCACAGAAGACTGGGTAGTATTTCCTGAGTTGCCATCATGAAATTCCTTGGCCCTGGGGTTCATGGAGATTCTGTTTCACATATAGGACGGTATAAAATTTTAAGCTTTGGCAGGAATAAAAAAAATTACCAACACTGTGTGTTCATGTGTCCCAGCATTCCTTACTTCCTTCTGTGCTGTCTTGGCATTCTCTTGTCTGGTAACTAGGATCCCCTGGCATTTGTTTGTTCTGTACTTTGAAATGAATAAATTTAAACTTGGACTTTTATTCCCTTCAGGATGAATCTACCTGCCATCACACTGCTCTCTTTTCCAAGCTAGTCAGCAAAAATCCTTTTTTTTCCAGCCCTTCCCTCCTCCTGGACTCAAGATTATATACTTCTAATTATATAAGTGTGTGTGTGTGTGCACATGCCAGGGCAGACATGTGGAAGTCACAGGACAATATCCAGGAAATTTTTCTTTTTTTGGCCATGTGGATCCTGAGGATCAAACTTGGATCATCATGCTTAAATACACTGAGCCATTTTATTCACCTTTAGAATTTCTCTAATTTCAGTTTCTCAAGTTCAGAAAATATAATAATTTCCTTATGCTTCTTAGAGATGGTGGATGACCAAACCAAACCAACGATCTAATTTTAAATGAATTCTGCTTTAAACATAGGATATGTTGCATGTATCAGAAGGCAACAGTCTTCTGATAAAGTATTACATATTCCTAAATAGCTGTAATAGGTACTGTAATGAGCCAGATCCACTGAATGATGGTGAAGAATCATTAGAGTTCAGTTTAGCCAGTGCCTGAACAGCTAAGATGGTATGTGGAATTACCAGGGGCTTCACTTCTCATTTTTAGCATTGTCGATATAGGTTCATTCATCTTAAGCATCCTTAGTTAGTTCAATTGCTCATCTAAAATCACCTGGGAAGAGTCTCAATGAGAAATTATCTATGTCAAGTTCATCAGTTTGCTTATCTGTAGACATGTATATGGGCGATTATTTTGACTACATTAATTGATGTGGAAAGATGGAGCCCATTTTAGGACTCCCATGGGCTTAGGTCCTGGGCTGTGTAAAAGAGGAAAAGGGGAACTGGATATAAATATCCATGCATTGAGTCTCTTTGTTCTCGAGTATGGATGTGGCAGGTAGCTTCAGGTTCCTGCCTTGCCTTTCCTACAATGAAAGACCATAATTGGGAATTATAAACTAAATAAATTCTCCCTTATAGTTGCCTTTGTCAGTGTTTTAGCACAGCCACAGGGAATGAAAGTAGGGCGCTGAGCTGACTTGTCAGAGACTCCACTGGTTAATAAGCAGTGGGGTCAGGATTTTAAGCCTGAACACTGGCTATAGAGCATGAACTTTTCCTGTTCTATTCTGATGTTCTTATACTTTAGGCTGTGACCCATAGCACCTGAAAACACTTAAGTTTGAGGCAATTTGATATATATATAAAATCTGTGCTCTACTTTCTTCCTGAGTTTAGAAATGAACTTCAGCCTCATTTCTTGCAACAACTCTGATCAAAAGCATGTTTGTCTGAAGAACCAGGAACAAGGGCTGCTGGTGCACAGCAGGAGCAGTGTAGAAGAAAGTGCTACTGGAAGCAAAGGCTGCAGACAGTAGGAGCATCCTACTCTGGCCTTGCACCACCTGTTATGGGCCAGCTTAGAGAGCACAGAGAGCATCATTTCCAAATCCTCCAGAAAAAAAAAAAGTAGGAGACGTACAGCTCGTTGTGATACCATGCATGCCCTCAACAAGAAATTTGTGCCCCACTCAGCTCTCAAACTTTCCTACTGACCTTGAGCGCCTCTGGCCTGTCCCACCAGTCTGGGAGCTTTCATCGATTAATGGACTCACAATCTTTTCGGTCATATCGGTGAGCACAGTGAAGGTGGGTTCCACAATGAAGTCAATGAAACCTACAGAGAAGCAACAGTTGCTCAAATAACAATATGCTATCTGAGGGACCAGCCCAGGTTTTCTACTAGAAACCTACTAGTCTTTCCTTAAAACAAACAAACAAAAAATCCAATCCACCAAAGAAAACACCATATCTATGTTTGAGCTTCAAATCAACCAAGCTCCAGTTGGTCTCATTCTTATTGGATATCATGAGACAGTTTCATTTCCTCTATATAATTTCCTTAGAACTTTTCAATAAGTGATTCAATTAAATGCTTAAAAATTACAATTTAACACCTGCTATGTAATAAACACTGTGGTGTGTTTTGTAAAAGGTTGAAGATAAATAATGCAATCCAGCAGCCCTCAGGGAATTTATAGGTAAGATGTAATGGGCACAAAAATGACCCTTAGAGTTCCTGCAGGGTTAAAGGAGAAGCCCAGATGAAGGTTCCTAGGAAAGAAATAGAAGAGAATGGAGAGGAGGCATTTGCTCCTATAGAGACGAGTGAACGGTAGTGTAGAGGTTGTGATAATTGAGCTGAGCTCTGAAGGATTGGTGGCGAAAAAGATGTGGCTATTCACTCTGGGTGGAGGGGGCTTCAGAGGTAGGAAAGCATGCAGAAGGTGTCTGAGCAATGATTAGGTGTAGGAATGCTTCGGACTTGGGGAAAAACGGCTTGGAGAGGCCAGTTATCCATAGATGGGGAAGAATCAGAGCTCCTGGGGTTTAGAATCAGAGGAGTCCTGGGCTGGCCTGAAGAAGTGTGAGCATCTTTGTGACTTTTATTTTTATATTTAAATTTTCTTTAATACTGTCCATGCAGTAAGAAGCATGGGAAGACAGTGAGGAGGAAAACCTGAGAAGGGAAAATCTTACTCAAACAGAAGGGAAGAAAGCAAGAACCAGAGCTGTTGTAAACTGGGTACCACAGACACACACACTGCAGACAGGAGGTGGCGTTGCTCTAGGGGGATTCCTCCAGGAGGCTCCAACAATAAGGCAGAGGAAATGAAAGAAGGCAGAAGACAGGCTGCAAGCTGCTGACGCGAGATACAGGAGGCAGAACCAGATCGCAAGACTTGGTAGTGAAGGGCTGAAACTGGGTTAGAGTCATTAATGAAATGATACCCTTTAAGATGGCCATGCTGAGGAGATAGCAAAAGCTGGCCTAGAGTTATTATCTTAATAATTTAAAAAAACCTAGGTGATTATTTGTGACATACTGAGCAAAAATAACATATACACTGGTACTGACAGGGACTGCAGTAACTTATCCATAGTTGTATACAAGGAAGAAAATTAAATATTAACCAGGGGAGACTGCCCACTCCTCTGAGTGGGTGTCTGGAAGTGCAAGAATGAATTTTTAGTTTTCACAGTTACTAAGGGGATAGTGATATGGTGCTGATACTCAACAGAGAAGGATGCTAAATATCTGGTAATATAATCCACAAAATAAGAACTGTCCATCCGATAAAGAAAGTCTGGTAACAAAATCTGTCTTGCAGTTCACTACAATTTAATTGTGAACTCAAACTTCAGTATTTGATGACACACAGAATTCTTTGGATATGACCCCATTTCTTACAGGAATGCATAAGCATGTGCTATTCTTGACCCAATATAAAATCCCTGCCTAATTCTCTCTATAATGTCTCTTTATATATCTTATTCCCTACTCACTATTTCTGCCATACTGGAGCTATTGAGAACGCACTGACCATATTAAACACCTTTACTCATTCTGCTTTCTCTATCTCTCATCGGTAGTGTCATTTCATCCACGTCTAACATGTACCACTATCTATCACAACTTGCCTAGCTCAACTGTGACCCTTTAATAATTCTCTGTGGATCACGTAGGCCTAATGGCTTAAACACTGTCTTGGTATTCCATTGTTAAATGTTAAGAACTCAACCTTAGCACCCACAATGCTCTAATGCATTTGGTTTTCCTAACATTTCACTACTGTCTAAGAGTGGTTTAATAATATCTTTGAGAGCAAGTACCATGTCTAGTTAGTTTTGTTGTTGTTGTGTTTGTTTATATCATCTATTTTAATTCCTAGCAGAGCCAAGTACCTAACAGGAACCCAAGACATATATCATGATGAAACAAATGAAATAATGAATGATCACACAAAGTTCCAGCAGAGGCCAGGCGTGGTGGCACACATTTTTGGGCTTAGCACCTGGGAGCCAAAGGCAGGAAAGTCAAGAGACCAAGATCCTTAGCTATACAGTCAATTCATAGCTGACCTGGGCTCGAGGTTAATTTTGGCTAAATGGCCAATACGTGCCTAGCCTAGATTACATAAGACTATATCTCTGCTCCCAAAATGCACAAGTAGAAAAGGCAGCCATTCCTTATTAAATTGATTTTCTTTTTAGTGATAACACTGTTTTAAAGTAGAGTTCACTCATGACATTTACTTCATGTGTCACTGTTTTCCTCTCCAGGATTTTGGTAATGTGTCTGTTATGATGGCACTTTTTCTCTTCTCTCTTTCTTTCTTTCTTTCTTTCTTTCTTTCTTTCTTTCTTTCTTTCTTTCTTTCTTTCTTTCTCTCTCTCTCTCTCTCTCTCTCTCTCTCTCTTTCTTCTGGGTATGGAAGAAAAGGAATGAGGAAACCAAAACAACTTAAAAGTACCCCCATCCCAGAAAGAAGGGTAGTCCAAAATGCAGGCAGACAAAGCATCAAGAAGTGGAAAGGCTGAGGTGACTTCTAGTATTGAAGCATGATGGGGCGGAAGCAAAATGGGCTTTCTCCCTATGATATGCATGGTTATCTTCTTGGGAAGTTGAGGCTCCATTTCCTTTTGGGAGGATTAATGGGGACCCCAGATCGTATCTGTGTAATCTCCCCTAGAACCATCCACAGTCCAGAAGGATGACAGGACTCCACTCTGCCAGAGGCTGAGAGCAGTGAGCCAGAGCTCCAGGGGAAATCCTCTGAGCCCAGTGGCCCTGTCTACCACAGATCTGTCATCTGATGCCCCTTCCAAGCAGCTGGAAAATACCTACCCACTTGTGACTGAGCAACCATGGTTGACTTTCTGTCACACAGAGGAGAAAACGGCAACCCCAGCTCTGCTTCTCTGTCACCCTAGAAAAACAGAAGGTCACAATAAACAAAAGAACAGTGGGCTGAGCTGCCCAGATTTTATTTAGCAAACTTAGCTACCACTTAGGCCATTTATCTTTATTTTAATTATTACAATTAAATTGTGTAATAAGTTCTGGTGAGGCCTGCTCCTCTAAACAAAAGACACCAAGAATTGGTGGCTTCCGGAGAGCAATCATTCCCCTGAGTGCAAAGGCTCATGCTGTCCTAAAGAAAGCTTCAACTGGGCAGCAATAGGTTCCCCATGGAAAACCAGGCAGCAGTCCATGTGTCCTGTGGCCTAGAGCCAACATCACAGTTAAAATGGCGGTGTTCCCTGCAGTGTTCCTGTGGCTACCTGAGCTCTTATTCTAGTCACTGAACCCCCAGTGGTAAGCAGTATTCAAAAAGAAAATTCAAACTCACTGATGTGGCTTTGTTCCCCTAACATCACCTAACTAAAGACACACACAACGACAGTTACGTGCTTCTGTGTTTCCAGTCCTACTGCTTTGTCTATGGTGAAAAGTGGAGTAAAAAGAAGCAATTATTAGACAACAATACAGCATAATTGTTTGGCCAAAATATTCATCATGGTACCCAAAATGTGCCACTCTGACACAAACACTGTGGGATGGAGATGGCTTTTAAAAACATGAAGCAAAAGTTTGAACTTTCTGTCATGTGCAGAGGAAGGAGAAGAATATTTCCCACATCCATCAGTGGGCTGTGCGCTTTCTTTTTTTGTAGGAAGAAACTCGCTCAGGGTAACACCTGTGAGTCTGTGCTTGAACCCTGCCTTGTTGCTGTAGGGTGTACAGTCCTAGGAAGGTCGCTGCCCTTTGCTATTTCACAGTTTTTCATGTGTTAAATGTGGGATAATAGTCCCAATCTAAAGTGCTTATCATGAGGCAAAAATGACAAAAACACATACAAGCAAATAAAAGAATAACCAAAAGAATTGTTGTTTCCATAGAAGTAGCCATATTTGAAGTCAAGCTTGAGAAACATAGAGTGAATTCATTCCAGCTGGCACACTCTAATTGTAATGAACATTACCAATAAGTTAGTTGCACTCAAAAAAAAAAAAAAAACTTTAATAGCAAGCAGCAAAGACTGTATCAACACCTAAATGCCTATTTCTAAGTAATGTAAACAGGGACTTAGATAAGGATTCTCGTAAAGGCATGAGGTATATTTTTCAAGAGGAGGCTTTATATTGATCAGGGATATTGCATACTATGAGAGCCTAATGCCTACAAAGAGCCAAAAATCACATGACACAAAATCAGCATTACAAAGCAAAAATTCCACTACATTAAAAGAAAAAAAATATCAAAATACCTCTCAGCCCATAACAGCTCACATATTTAAAAATTATATATATATTATTTTTAAATATATATAATCTTTAAATATATATAATTTTCAAATTATATATATATAATTTGAATATATATATGAATATATATATGAATATATATATATATATATATATATATATATATATATAATCTAAGTTATTTAACTGACACAATGAAGAAGGCAGATCGCTGTGGCTGAACATAAAGCGTGTTGATGAAGTGGTTCCCAGCCAGTACAATGGACTCAGCTCTGATGATTGCATAGACGAATGGGCTTGGAGGAAATGGGTCACTAGGGGCTCATCTTTAAAAGGTATACCTCTCGTTTTCCAAACTTTCTTCACTGGTTCTCTTGGCTTCCTGATGACCGTATGGGAGCAGCATTCTTTTTTTTTTTAATTTTATTTTTTTCTTATCAGTTACATTTTATTAACTCTGTATCCCAGCCGTGTCCCGATCCCTCATTCCCTCCCAGTCCCTCCCTCCCTCATCTCCACCATGCCCCTTGCCAAGTCCACTAATAGGGGGGACCTCCTCCCCATTCATCTGATCCTGTTTTATCAGGTATCTTCAGGACTGGCTGCAAAGCTCTCCTCTGTGGCCTAACAGGGCTGCTCCTCCCTTTGGGGGTGGGGAGGCCAAAGAGCCACTCATTGAGATCCTGTTAGAAATAGTCCTTGTTCCCCTCACTATGGGAAACCAATTGGTTACTGAGCTACCACAGGCTACATCTGGGCAGAGGTTCTAGGTTACATTCATACATGGTCCTTGGTTGCATGTCAGTCTCAGAAAAGACCCTGTGCCCAGATATCTTTGGTCCTTGTGGAGCTCCTATCCTTTCCTCATCAGACTAACTCCCCTTCTTTCTTATGATTCCCTGTACTCTGCCAAAGGTTTGGTCATGAGTCTTTGCTTTGAAAACACTGCTAGTTAGAGTCTTTCAAATGCGCTCAGTAGACTCCTGTCATATGTTCAATGCGAACAGCACAGGCTCTAAGAGCAACAATCAATAAATGGGACCTCATGAAACTGAAAAGCTTCTGTAAAGCAAAGGACACTGTCATCCAAACAAAATGCCTGCCTACAGATTGGGAAAGAATCTTCACTAACCCTTTATCTGACAGAGGACTAATATCGAGTATATACAAAGAACTAAAGAAGCTGAAAAGCAGCAAACCAAGTAATCCAATTAAAACATGGGGTACAGAGCTAAACAGAGAATTCTCGACAGAGGAATATCGAATGGCAGAGAAACACTTAAAGAAATGCTCATCCTCATTAGCCATCAGGGAAATGCAAATCAAAACAACCCTGAGATATCACCTTACACCCATCAGAATGGCCAAGATGAAAAACTCAAGGGACAACACATGCTGGAGAGATTGTGGAGAAAGGGGAACCCTCCTCCACTGCTGGTGGGAATGTAAACTGGTACAACCACTTTGGAAATCTCTCTGGTGCTTTCTAAGACAATTAGGAATAGTGCTTCCTCAAGACCCAGCTATACCACTGCTAGGTGTATACCCAAAGTTTGCTCAAGTACACAAAAGGGATATTTGCTCAACCATGTTTATAGCAGCATTATTTGTAATAGCCAGAACCTGGAAACAACCCAAATGTCCATCAACGGAGGAATGGGTACAGAAATTGTGGTATTTTTACACAATGGAATACTACTCAGCAATCAAAAAGGAAGAAATCATGAAATTTGCAGGCAAATGGTGGGATCTAGAAAAGATCATCCTGAGTGAAATATCCCAGAAGGAGAAAGACAAACATGGTATATACTCACTTATATAGACCTATAAGATATGATAAACATAATGAAATCTATACACCTAAAAAAGATAATCAAGAGAGTGGACATGGGGTAAGATTATCAATCCTCGTTTAGGGAGCAGCATTCTTTTGCCCTGACAGCCTACCATAATGTTTCTGCTTTGAGAGAGAGGCCTATACATAATAAAGCCAGCTAATTGTGTACTGAACCCTCTGTAACAATGAGCCCACATAAACCTTCCCTCTTTTAAGTTCACTTTCTTAGGCATTTTGTCACAGAAGCAGGAGATTAACCATCACATAGGTACATCTGCTTGTACACTGAAAGTAAGATGCAAAAATGTTCTATGATCCACAGACGTTCACAAAGATGCTATATAAATTTAAGCTCTAAACAATGAAAAATGAAGAAATACATCACTGAAAATATAGAAAAGTTTGGAAAATATACTATTTGAAGTAACTCTCGGTTAAAAAAAAACAATTTGAAAGAATAGCTATTAAAGACTGCTCTGTGTCAGAAGCAGCAAGCTTCCCAGAAATAAACAATCACTTCTCAGTTTCTGTTTTCTAAACAAGCAAAAATGAAAGCAAATGAAGTGACTATCAAACTCAGAGAGTTAAAAAAAATAAAAGTAAATGAAATGAACAAAGACAAAAACAGTTATTAAGGTATTGCCAAAGAAAAACAGAAGCACTAAAATAACAACACGATCTTGAAGAAGAGAAAAAAAATCAACAATATATATGAAATAAAACAAACAGAGGAGGAAACACCCACAGACACAGAAAAAAATGAGACTAATTGGGCTAGATGTTTCCAAACTGTAAAAGCACACAGCAGTACAAGGTAAACAAACCCGAAGCTTTTCAGGACAAGATGGATTTACCAAGGCAACATACTTCTTCAAAGTCAGTGTTTCATCTAAAAGCACCCCACGACTGTGCCGTGGATTTTGTAAAACATTGTTATGGAGCTGAAGATGGAACTCTCTCTCTCAGAAGAGCAAGAATAGCACAAGGGCTATTTTGTTATTTTGATATATAGCCTAAGTTTCAGAAAATAAATATTTAAAGGCTCTCTGGTTCTACTGAGGTTTCCCATGTGAACTGTCCAATCTTAAAGCCATCATTAAGATCTAGGGGAGTATCAGTCTCAAAAAAGACTCCTGGGCCCAGATATTTTGGTTCTGTTGCTCCCCTTGTGGAGCTACTGTTCCCTACAGGTATTTCTATCTCTTCCTTCTTTCATAAGATTCCCTGCACTCTGCCCAGAGTTTGGCTATGAGTCTCATCTATACTCTAACCAAGAACCATTCATGGAGATAACCTAGAACCCCTGCGTAGATGTAGCCCATGGCAGCTCATTGTCCAAGTGGGTTCCCTAGTAATGAAAACAGGGACTGTCTCTGACATGAACTCAGTGGTTGGCTCTTTGATCACCTCCCCCTGAGGGGTGCAGCCTTACCAGGCCACAGAGAAAGACAGCATGTATTTGTATTTGTCTTAAAGCAATACATACTCATTAAAGACTGTCTATACTTTTAGATAGCACACGACCCTGGATTAAAGGTGTAGTTAAATTTAACTGCACTTGAACAATAACTCCTAGTGATTTCTTTACTCCAATTTGCCACATCTTAGTTTTGGAACATTGTTTCATGGCTCATCTAAAAAAGGAACCATCACTTAATAATGAAAGACACGAGTCAAAGATTATCAAGTTAGTACTACAAGGCGATACCAAAATAACCTTTTTGGTAACTCATTAGGGAAACAAGAAAAAGAAAAAGGCCTCTTCAAATGACACTTAAACAAGAGACTGCCACACAAAGTAGAAATGCTTAAGACAGAATGCATTTCACAATGTCTTGAGAAAAAAAATTGAGGCAAAATTCAAGCATCACATATATAAAAATAAAACAACTGGGGCCCCTCCCTCCAAACTATGTCCTCAATTGTCCTTGCCAGAGAGGTGCTAAAATATTTGATTTCCAAAGGATCACCAGCCCTGATGAGCAGCAAGAGGCAGGATACCTGTCTGAAGAACTCCTCCAGGAGAGACATGGTCCAGCGGTGGTGCAGATCCCATGCTTTCGCAGGATGGCTGATGTCTGCTGTGTGCAGCATCAGGGATAAGGCTTTCGGCTTTTCAATTCTGCAAACCCAACACATGCAAGCACGTGGTGACCACACACCTCAAACACCGGAAGTTCAAAATCTTCAGAATCCGATCTGCTTCCCCACATCGAACCCAGCTGGCACTGATGAGGAAATAACTATTTGCCTCTAAGCACTGTCATCATGTTGGTGAATGAACATTTCAGCACTTACTGAATTAGTCACTTCTCATTTGACCAGTTCATAGAATGGCTGAATTTTTCAATCAGACAACAGAAATGTGACCAACTCTTTTCTTTTTCTTCCTTTCTTTCTTTACCTCTATATTTAGCAGACTCTTGATCGTTTAATTACTAACAGGGTAATGATGCGAATTGGGGCAGACTGGCACCATGTCATATTTACCCCAACTCCAATTAGCCTCTAACTGGTTGTGAGATGATGTTCAAATTCTTTGTTCTAGACATCCCTACTTTCTGAGATAAACCAACACTACTTTCTGAGATAATAATCACCCTGAAGGTGATGTGTTTTCAGTGCATAAAATGTACAGATCTCAGTTCAAAGCCCTATGAGGACACAATGTCACAAGCTACTCACGCTTCTGGCTGCTGCAGGGCTGTCTTCATGGCTTTGATTTGCTGGAAATGACAGGACATATCTGTGGCCATTACCATCTCAATTACCAAGGTTCGAAACTCCCTTTTGTGAACACCCATAGAGAAAAGGCATGAAAGCAAAGAAAAAAAAATTACAAGCTATTTTTTTTTTGCCACATTTAGTCAAAAATCAGTTAATTGTTTCAGACATTTCAAATCTAATGTCAGTCTTTTCAGTGTGTTTCTTTATGATGTGGGATATAAATGAAGGTTAAGGAGTACAGAACAATTTATTAATAATATGATAGAGGGGGATAGAGAACGTGCTCCCCGTGGTTAAGAGCATTAATACCCCTGCAGAGGTCCCGAGTTCAATTCTAAACGCCCACATCTGGAAGATCACTTCCTTGAATACTTGCACTCATGTGTGTGTACTCACACACAGACACATATACATGCACAGAATTTACAAATAAAATAACCCTTTACAAAAGAATAGGATGCATCTGTCATTGGAAAAGTTACAATGAAGTTCTCATCTGAATTAAAGTGTTTGCTTCTCAGGTGGCCATCCACGTACTAGGTGATGTAGATCTGGTTTCTTCTACACTAGTTTAGGGTGAGTACAATAAATCTTCTCTAAGTATCCGTGCGGAAGTCTCTGTATGGACATGGCCTCATTGTTTGAGAGGAAATATCCAGGATTAAAATGGCTGCTCTCTTAGGATCCCAAGCATTTAGCTTTATAAATAACTGCCAAGCCCTTTGCAGAATGTCTGTTTAACTTTATATTTTTGACTACTGTGTTAAATTTTATTTTTATTTTTCTTGCCTTGTGTCAGCCTTTAATTCTAGCCATCTAGTGGGTAGCACCTAGAGGGTGTCTCACTGTGGTTTTAATTTGCATTTTTTGACCAAATGCTATCAATAAATATCTCTCATGTACTTTTACCATTTGCATATCATTTTTTTGGAAACTATGTTTCAATTATATTTACTTTACAATTTTCTTTTCTTATTTTTAATGTGCGTTGGTGTTTTGCCTGCATGTATGTCCGTGGGTGTCAGATCGTAGCATTACAGACAGTTGTAAGCTGCCATGTGGGTGCTGGGAACCTGCATCCTTGGAAGCACAGTCAATGTGCTCAACCACCAAGCCATCTCTCCAGCCCCTACAACTTCTTCTTACTGAACGGTTAAGATTTATTATGCTCTGGATATAAACCCCAGCAGGATATGCATGGTACACACACTTATGCATGGTGCTCACACTTCTCCGCTTTCTTCACTTGCATCAATTCCCAAAAGTTTAGTTTTTATTAAGTTGAATTTGTTATATTTTTTTTAAAAAAATGCTTCTTGCCTTTCGTGTTCTAAGAATAACACGTGTCCTGAAGATGTTGCTGTGCTTGCCTGTAACATTCCTGCCACTATCGTTGCCTCTGCAGTGCTGCGAACAAGCCCAGGGTGCCTACTACTGAGCTGCATTCTGAACCAAGTAGCCTTTTCACCTGTTATGTTTTATTCTTCAGTCTGAAGCTTTCCCAGTTGTGCTATTACAGATTGCTTAGATTTTATGTTCTGAGTTATGACAAAATTTGAGTTGATTTTTGAGCATGGTTTGAAGTAAAAGTCAAAGTCATTGTTTTCCACTGATATCCACCTGTCTTAACACCATTTGCTGAAAATAGTTTTCTTTCCCCATTGAAGGGTCTGGAGAGATATGTCAGTGGGAACAGTGCTCGCCAGGAAAGCATGAGGTTCCATGTGCTGAGTTTAATGGGTCATGTTTGTAACTAGCACTGAGGGAAGAGGGACTGGGACAGGAGGATCCCCAGGGCTTGCTGTCCAACCAGTACTACCAATAAGTGATCTCCAGGTTCAAGAAAGGGGCTGACTCAGTAAGCAACCAAACAAACTGGAGAACTATCGAGGAGGGCCTCTAACACTGACCTCTGACCTTCCTACTAAAGGATATTTAATTAGAGGACAAAGTGATAGCTGTCAGTACGGCCCTGTGTAAATGAGCAGCAGTGCAGTTAGATTGGTTTTTAACCCACCCTACCCCCTCTTGCTCTTCTTTCCTCCTTTCCACATGGAGCCCTCCTTCTACCTTTATGTCAAATGTGTGTTTTTGTAATCTAGATTCCGCAGGCAAGAAAAAAGTTCAGTATCTGCTTTTCTGGGTTTGGTTTGTTTGATTTAACATGATGCTTTCTAATTCACCTATTTTTCTATAAATGCCATAATTTCTTGGTGTTTTTTTTTTTTTTTTTTTTTTTTTTGTGGCTGAATAATACTCCACTGAAGGGGCTGCTGGTAAGATGGCTTAGTGGGTGAAGGCACCGTCCACCAAGTCTAATCACCTGAATTCGACCCCCCACGGCAGAAGGCAAGAACACAGTGCATTGTGGCACTTACCACCCCTCCCACAAGTTAACAAATATCATCCATTTCCTTTATCCATTCACCAACATGTGTGTCCAGGAGGATTCATAGCTTGCCTCTGTGAACATGGTCACAAATAAAGGTTAGTATGCAGTCTCTCTGTGCTAGTCTCATACGTTTCTTTAGGGGTGGATCCAGCTAGGAGTTGGAAAGCTGAGTCATATAGTTGTTCTGTTTTTAGTCTTCTTAGAATTTCCACACTGATTTCAATAAATCCAGTCCTTCATCTACTTTCCTGTGCAAAAATTCTGAATGTAATTCCCTAATGGCTAGCCACTAGTCGCTTATTTTTCACATCAACCTCATATTTAGTGGCCTTATAAAATTCATTAACAGTTTTAGTGGCTGTCGTAATAGTCTTAAGACTTTATGTGCAATCAGAGCTCATTTCCTAAAAAAAAAAAAAAAAAAAAAATACTGTATGTTATTTAACATAAGATTAGGTATCCTAATATTGTCCTCAGTCTTCAGAGGGAAGTGTTCAGCATTTTACCATGACGGCTGATGTTAGCTGTGGCTTTACATAGCTACCCTGTGTCTAGCTAGAGATGCAATATGCTCCCCTTTGTTTCTCATTTGAAGAGAGTTTATATTGGATGAGTAATGACTTTTGTCAAGTGTTTTGGATAGAGCGATTGAAACGAATACATTCTTTGTTTTTTGTTGCTCTTTTGCTTTGTTTTGGTTTGTTTTTCTTGTTCATTTTTTTTTTAATGGATGGCTCACTATATGGCTATGGCTGGCCTGACATAGATCAGTTTGGATTCCAACTCAGGATCCTCCTGTTTCAGTGTCCAGTGTGCTGGAATTACAAATATTTACCAACAACATTTGACTTTCTGTGCTTGCTCATTTGCTTTTAATATGGAGAATCATTTTAATTTTTTTTGAGTGCCAAACTAACCTTGTAGTCTCAGGGTAAATTCCCTATAGTTATCAGGGCTCTCTGATGATGTGTGTGTGTGTGTGTGTGTGTGTGTGTGTGTGTGTGTATGTGTATGCATCACCATAAAATTCATATTTGTTTGTGATACAGGAAAGAGAGATCACATGTACTCTTTATAAAGATGAAAAGCCAAATTAGCAAGCTTTGGGGCAGTACAATGTTATGTTTATATGAGAGAGCAGTACAATGTTTAGGCATGGTATAGTTCCTCAGCACAAGCATGCCCCATCTGTCCACACTAGCCCTCTGTGGCTTCCAAATCTGTCACCTCACATTACCTCCAGTCATCCTTTGAGAGGTTGACGAGAATATTCATCTCTTCGTCTTCCTGCAGAAGGCGGTAGGCTGCACTCAAGTGGTGATTCTCCAATACAGATCTGTCATTGTATAGGATAGCTGGATCCGACCTGAACAGGGAAACACACTGTCCTTCATTTGGGATATCACTGAGAGCCTTTGCTTACTTTGGCAAGTTACTGTGTGTTACCACTCTTTCATGTGTTTAGAAGTAATGTTGTCCCCATGCATTTGGGTCACTGACAACTCAAACTAGCATCACACATGATCAGTAGATACTTTACTATCACTATATAGATGTGCCATGAGCATGCTGAAGCCTGCTTTATAGCCAGACCTCAATGACCTGCATCAGTGGCAAAAGGGACTTTCAAAAATGTCAGTGTGTTAAACTCCCTTAGGATTTCTGGAATAGTTTAATTTTTTCAAATTTTATTTAATTTAGTGAATACTCTGTTGAATTTACTTTAGCTGTAATTCTGTAAGTACATATCATCTGGTGGTTACTATCTGCAATCTGCCAATGTAATTTTATTTTAAATAGCTCTTCCACAGAAATGTCACAGATGGGTAGTTGAAGGCAAATAATATAATTTTAATATATCTGCAAAGATTATTCTGCTTTTAAGTGTTACATAGTCCAGGATCGCACATCGTTTTAATATCTCCATTATAATGAAAGCTTGGATTATCAGAGCTCATTTGTTTCTCAACTAGGCTACCATATTTATAGTGTTTTCTTACAGTCTCAGAACAACTAAGTCACAGGACTGTAAAGGAAGCCACAGTCTTCTGACAATAGGACTGATACTCCCAAAGATAGAAAGTTACTGTTGATCCAACTGAGTCTAGGTTATCTTAAAAGTCCTAGGCTTAATGGACATCTTGTCTGTCAAAGAAAAAGGGGTCTAGCCACATAATTTTCTACATGGGAATCATGTGTGCTCAGGTGAACTGGACAAAGCTTTGCTGAGGGCCAATGTGTCAATGTTTGAATTTCTTTCCACAGTTTGATAACGGTAGACGTGTATTTTGTGGTACTAAGCTCTTGTTTGCCTCCTATGATGTGTTGGTTTTCCAGTGGGTTTGTTCTTGGTCTCCAAGCAAGCTCCATGAAACTGTCCTACCTACCCCTCCTCCTTAGACAGCTCCGAGTCACTGCAGTCTCTGTCCTTCAAGAAAAGCTTTCACCCTGTCTTCTGGGAATCTGCCTATATTTAAAGACCTTGGAACAGATGAAGAAAATAAGTTTCCAGCACCTCAAACCACTCTACCTGGGGAGAAGGAGTGAGGACTAAATAGAATGGCTTAAATCCTTTATTTTGCTTTCACTCCCCTTCTGAACACAGCACAGAAAAGACTATCTTCTTATGCCATGGAGAAGGAAAGAGATAAGAGCATAGGCATGAGTACCTCACCAGAAGCTCAGGGAGCAGAGAGTGAGAAGGCACCCATATTGTTAGCATCACAGAAGCCCTCCAGTGATTATCTAAGCTTAGTGATGTCATTTACATGACATCTGGGCCTCTATGCAACATGTACCACACCCAATAGAAACAGGCACAGTAGGCACAGCACATACATAAATAATGAGTAAACATCACAATAGTGAAGAAAGCAGGATCCACTTCAGATCTGAATAAAACATGAGAAAGATCAGCAGATGGCTTTCAAAGTGCAGTGTGCTCAATGAAGCCACCCAGGCTTGTATCTTGTTTATAAATTAATCGTTTCAAAATTCAAAACAGAGAAACCACATAAAAGGAAAATGACAAGCACAGACCCAACTGTCCTCTAAAATTACATCTCAGCGCCTCCTGCCTGTTCTACAAACACTTCTTCCCCCTTACCGAGTCTGAATGTGGAAATTGTTGGTAGTTCCAGTGTGTTCATAGTCGTGGATGGCAGCCGAGAAGATTATTGCAAAGATCTCCAGCTCCGTCAGCCAGTTCTGAAAGGGAGATTCACAGCATCAGATAATCTGTCCTCCTCAGACTGTGGCAGCATGCGGACCACACACCCACGCTGCTGCCTTCTACCCTGCAGCTGATGCTATTACTAAACAAGGGTTCTTACACATAGAGGTAGTGTGAGCTTTCCCTCATTGAGGAGATTGTGAACTTGTGGCTTGAACATAACATGTGAGGTTGAAAGAACTATTTCTCTGATCTGACTTTCCAGAAAGGCAATGACAGTCAACATGATGAGCTTTTAAATGCCCTCAGCAAATATCCCTCCAACTAGAAAATAAAATTCTTACTTCTCTTCCCTTTCCTCTTCCTCACCCTTCCCCAACCCTGAGAAAAATTCAACACATCACCCTCTCTCTTTCATTCAGGCACCATTAATAATTTTAACATACTAGCAAGCACCAAGAGTAGAGGCCCTAATGTCCAACTACGGGAGAAGCATCTACGACAAGGTGCGACGCTACATGTGCAGGACGAATAAGACAGTTTTTTTTCCCCTTGGATAAAATGATGCTTAGAGGATGTGACTCCATTCACACCCCTGGTAAGGTAGTTGGTGAATTCTGTCCAAAAACAGCAGAATTAGTAATGCCTGGAAACTCCTACAAGTATAAGCAAATTCTCTGGCTCTGTGCATTCCCAAGGAATCGAAATGTATAAATTATGGCTCAGCAATGTGTACTCCATCAAGTCTTCTAGATACTATCGATGCACATAGGGGTTTAAGAAGCCCTCTGTTGCCTCTGAAAGACTCCACCCAGCAGTGTATCAAAGCAGATGCTGAGACTCATAACCAAACTTTGGGCAGACTGCAGGGAATCTTATGAAAGAAGGGGGAAACAGTAAGATATGGAGAGGACAGGAGCTCCACAAGGAAAGGAACAGAACCAAAAATTCTGGGCACAGGGGTCTTTTCTGAGACAGATATTCCAACCAAGGACCATTCATGGATATAAACTCAATAACTTGGAATCCCTGCTCAAATGTATCCCATGGCAGCTCAGTATCCAAGTGGGCTTCCTAGTAAGGGAAACAGGGGCTATCTCTGACATGAACTCAGTGACTGGCTCTTTGATCACCTCCCACTGAGGAGGGAACAGCCAGTCCTGATGAGAGCTGATAAGCTAGGGTCAGATGGAAGGGAAGGAGGACCGTCCTTATCAGTGGACTTGGAGAGGAGCATGGGAGGAGATAAGGGAGGAAGGGTGGAATTGGGAATGAATGGAGGAGGAGCTACAGCTGGGATACAAATGAATAAATTGTAATTAATATTTTTAAAAAAAATTTAAAAAAAGAACCCCTCTGTTGATAATTTTACCCAGGGTCCTCATTCTTGCTTAGCCTCTTTAGATGTATAGATTTTATTATGTTTATCCTACATTATATGTCTAATACCCACTTATAAGTGAGTATATACCACGTGTGCCTTTCTGCTTCTGGGATACCTCATTCAGGATGATCTTTTCTAGTTCCCACCATTTGCCTGCAAATTTCATAATTTCCTTGTTTTAATTGCTAAGTAGTATTCCATTGTGTAAATGTACCACAATTTCTGTATCCATTCCTCTGTTGATGGACATCTGGGTTGTTTCTAGGTTCTGGCTATTATGAATAAAACTGCTATGAACATGATTGAGCAAATGTCCTTGTTGTGTATTTTAGCATATTTTGGATATATGCCTCGGAGCTGTATCTTGAGGAAAGACTATTCCTAATTGTCTGAGAAAGTGCCAAATTGATTTCCAAAGTGGTTGTACAAGTTTACATTCCCACAAATCCTCACTCAGAAAGGCAAACGGGATGGGCATTGGAAGTGGGAGAAAACAGGGAACAAGCCAGGAGCCTACCACAGAGGGCCTCTGAAAGATTCTACCCAGCAGCGTATCAAAGCAGATGCTGAGACTCATAACCAAACTTTAGACAGAGTGCTGGAAATCTTATAAAAGAAGGGGGAGATAGAAAGACCTGGAGAAGACAGGAGCTCCACAAGGAGAGCAACAGAACCAAAAATCTATTTCCAGAGGTCTTTTCTGAGACTGATACTCCAACCAAGGACCATCCATGGAGATAACCTAGGACCCCTGCACAGATGTAGCCCATGGCAACTCAGTGTCCAAGTGAGATCCCCAGTAATGGGAACAGGGACTGTCTCTGACATGAACCCAGTGGCTGGCTCTTTGATCACCTCCCCCTGAGGGGGGAACAGCCTTACCAGGCCACAGAGGAAGACAATGCAGCCAGTCCTGATGAGACCTGATAGGCTAGGGTCAAATGGAAGAGGAGGAGGACCTCCCCTATCAGTGGACTTGGAGAGGGGCATGGGAGGAGATGAGGGGGAGGAGGTGGGATTGGGAAGGAATGAGGGAAGAGGCTACAGCTGGAATACAAAGTGAATAAACTGTAATTAATATAAAAAAATAAATTTAAAAGAACCCCTCTATTGTCCCACTAAATGGACCCCCATCCCTGTGTACCCCTTGCTTACAACCCAGTACACACCTCATCACCTTCAGGCCTCATAGGCCACCTGCTTGCACTCTCTGCTCAGTTTTATAACTGAGTGAAATGATGTTTGCCAGATTCAGCATGGTTACTCTAAGCCCTCTTTTGATTAGTTGCAGTCATTATAATTTCTTAAGCAGGTGTGATATAAACCAATTAATTATGAACAATAACATATGAAGTAGGTGTTTCTATAGAACCCAAGTTGAATGCCTTGGACAGTCATTGACACCACGGCTGTCAAAACATATGTGACAACTGTGAATCCATAGAGAGCTGTAAAAATGTACACTGATGGTTTGATTTGCACTCTTTGGTCTCCAGTTGGTGGCACTGTTGGGGAGGTTTGGGAGAAGAGGCTTTGTTAGAGGAAGTCTATCCCTGGAGGCAGGCAAGCTTTGAGAGGTTAAAGACTTGCACCATTTCCAGCTGCTCTGAGGCTTTTGACTGTACATTTGCTCTGTTCTCCTGGACTCATCCCCCAAAAGTATGAGCTGAAATAACTAAGTTGCCTCTGGTCCTGGCATTTTGTCAAAGCATCAGAAAAGTCACTAACATGCTTCGTATTTGTAAGTTCCCACTTCACTGCAAAGAAAAGAATGTCAAGGGTTTACATAGGGAAAGGGCTGGTAGGAGACAAAGGACCCAAATCAGCCAACTCAGAAAAGAGCTCACAATGAGTGCATGAGATATAGTTGTGTTACTTAAGTTCATGCAAAGTGATTCACTATGATCATGAACATTTTATAGTTCTCTTCTTTAAGTGTTTCTTTCAAATAGTTAATTTTGGTTATTAACTAAGAAAATTCCTGTAATCTATGAAAAAAAAAATACTTCACATTACAGAACACGAAGTGGGGGGTGTTAGTACTTTAAAAAATACTTCTAATAATTTGTAGCATGAAATTCCAAAGCAATTATCCTTTACATATTCAATAATATCCCTGACAATTACACACTATGGTTCAAAGGAATGGAAAGACAAAACAAAAACAAAAAACAGCAACAAACGACTAAAAGAAAATTATTGAAATGACATGAAAAAGCTATGCAGATGTGCTAGTGAGTGGCCATTCAGGTGAATGTGACCATTGCTAAGCCTGACAACAAGAGTTCAATCTCTGAGATGCACAAAGGAAATTATCCTCTTATTTCCACACATGCATGCACAGAGGCACATGCCCTGCCCAAGTTAGTTAGTAAGTAAATGTAATAGATAAGGTATGGATGAGAAAAGGTTGCAGGAAACCTGAAACTGCCTTTCCACTCCTCCCCTTAGAAAAGTCCAGCTGCAGACCTTATCCTAGGTGCTTTTTAAAATACTGTTTTTAAAGTCCATGTATGGATGCAACCTAGAGCCCCTGCTCAGATGTAGCCCTTGGTAGCTCAGTGTCCAAGTGGGTACCCTAATAAGGGGAACAGGGACTGTTTCTGACATGAACTCGATGGCAGGCTCTTTGACACCCCCCCCCCCAGGGAGGAGCAGCCTTGCTAGGCCATAGAGAAGGACTTTGCAGCCAGTCCTGAAGATACCTGATAAACCAGTATCAGATGTAAGGAGAGGAGGTTTTCCCTTTTCAGTGGGCTTGGAAAGGGGCAGAGAGGAGATGAGGGTGGGAGGGTGGGATTGGGAGGGAAAGAGGGAGCGGGATACAGCATGGAGACAAAGTTAACAAACTGTAACTAATATTAAAAAAATAAAAATTAAAAAAAAGAAAATACTGTTTTTATTCTTTGAAAATTTCATATATTTATACAATATGTTTTGATTATATACATCTACCACTACTTCTCCACAATTTCCCCCAACTCCTTCTACCTTGCCTCTCTCCTGCTATCATGCCCTTATCTTTAAAAAGATTTATTTTGACTACATGTGTGTGGTCTGCATATGTGTTTGTGCACTGCATGCATGTACTGCCCACAGAAGCCAGAGAGGCCATCAGATCCACCAAACCTGAATTTCAGACTGCAAGCCACCATATGGGTTCTTCGAATCCATCCTCAGTGCTCTGGAAGAGCAGCCCATGCTCTTAACCACTGAGCCATCTCTCAGGCTACCAAATCCTCTTTTCAAATATAGAAAGTCATCGATCTTTCATATCTTCATGACAGAACTAACTGTGCAGTTGTTATTCTCACTTTACATATTGAGAAAATGAGGACAGGGAAGACTCAGGATCTACCCAAAATCACACAGTTGGTCACGTGACAAGCCATACAATGAGACTTCAGAATTCTCACCTGTAATATCTAAGTTAAATTTCATTCATTTATAGTCTTCATTCATTTAATTTTCTCTATACTTATATATGTATAACATTCCACACCTCTTCTTGATTTATTTTTCTTTCTTTTCCTTGATAAAGGGTCTCAAACCGTAGAACGGGCTATCTCAAAATTCACTATGTGGTGGAGTCTAGCACTGAACTCACAGAAATCCTTATTTCTTAGTCTCCTGGGTGTTACAATTACAGGC